TACTCCACCTTGAGCAGAGGCTATAGAGGTGTTCATGGCATAAAAAAACATTTAAATTTTATGTAAGGGAGACAATCAAACCCTTTTTGGTGTCATGGTATTTTTAGGCCAACATACTCCATCTAGTGCAGATGCTATAGAGGTGTTCTGGCCATATATACTGGAACGAACACATATCATGTAGTGTAAAATGTCAAATTTAAAACATCATTATGTAATTTTAAAAATGACAAAACCATATCAAGTCCATACGAAACCATATCATGTTATATCGAAATATCATTAAGTAATGACTATTCCATATTGAGTAATATCAAAACATCATTAAGTAATGTCAAAACCATATTATGTAAAGACAAAGTATCATCAAGTAATAAAAATAAAACATAACGTAATATCAGAGTACCACATAAGACAGCTGTGGCGTTCCACACATACTCATGTGCTTGTTCTAGTCCAAGAAGTTAAAGACAGTTCTTCGTAATCAATTATTCTCTAAATGCATCGAATAAGAACGATTTGGACAAACATGATGAATCTAGACATATTGTGTAGAATCATATTAGCTATTGAAGACTATTTTGCCCAGTTATCTTTTTTTGTTTTTGTTTTTGGGAGAGGTATTTTGTTGATGATTTGCTGTTTCATTGACGAAATCTTTAATGTAACAGTTTTATATCTTTTGTTCGATGCAATTGAAAAAAAAATTGTCACTAGAGTTTCCTAATCTTTTGTATTTCTTTATATGGTACTGTTGATACCTGAATCGTTAATATCACATCACCGCAATTTGATAAAATAAGAAAATTGAGTCGAGATACTGCGACATTTGAACTATTGACGTCATTCACAATAACTGTTTCTTTCTGGCGTCAGACATGTTTGTACATCATAATTTTACGGGAATTGTTGTGCTGTCCGGTGATGGCGGACAAAGAGCCGTATAACCATTTTAACTGATATTTGAAATCCATGTCAGCAATCTCACATAATCAGATACAGCATGTTTGTATTTACCTATTTATCAAGTATTTATAACTTTTAGTGATATGTGCTTTCCAACTTCGAATTTGATTTGGCCATAAATTAACTCATCATAGATACCAGAATTGACATTTTGTATTTTCGCCAGACGCGCGTTTTGTCTACAACAGATTCACCAGTGACGCTCGAATCAAAAAAGGGTTTGAAATGCCAAATAAAGTACGAAGTTGAAGAGCAAACAGGACCAAAAATTCATAAAAAGTTTGTCAAATACAACTAATTTAATCTATTTCTAAGGTAGAAAAGCCTTGTTATGTTAAAAATTCAAAGTTTTGTAAACAGTTAAATTAATAATTATGACTATATCAATGATAATTTATCGAAGCACAGAAGTGCTGACTTCTGGGCTCGTAATACCCTCGGGGAATAAAAATTCCACAAACAGTGGCATCCACCCAGTGGTTGTAAATAAACTCATCGTAATTCAACCTATTGCAAAAACGCGTGACTCTTATTATCTTTCATAAGCCTGAACTTTGTTTTTAAATATATTTCAAATAAAGTCAAAATGATTTTTAGAAGAAAGTTAAAGTTTTGTTAGAAGAATGTTCCATCAAAAGAAAACCCATCAAAGTACATTGAACAGCGGTCTTCTCTTTTTTCAACAGTTAAAAATATCAAAAAGAAAATAAAACAACCGCTAACCATGTTTACCTATAAAAAAAAAATACCACAAGTACTGACTTAGGAGAACGCTTTAAAATGATCATTAGATAAGTGATGATACTACACTTTCCAACGAAAGGTGCATGTACAACCTAAGAAAGTTCAAAATAACGGAACATTCATTGAGAACAAGTGTCAAAGCAGTACTTGTATTAACTATATTCATTTTACAAAATGTATTCAAAATCATTGTATATAGCTTTTTTCTACATAAGAAAATGACTGTACCAAGTCAGGAATATGACAGTTGTTATCCATTCGTTTGATGTGTTTGAGCTTTTGATTTTGCCATTTTATTAGGGACTTTCCGTTTTGAATTTTCCTCGGAGTCTAGTATTTTTGTGATTTTACTTTTGATATTCCTCCTGATCTTAACTTATATAAATTGAGAAATACTGATTCGTCAACCATCTTTTTTAAAGTACACTTGTGCCTCCTTTTAAAGTTATATCCCAATCATGCATTTCGTCCCATGCTGCTCAGATGTATCATTTGATCAGTGTAAAACGCAATACTAAATAAATGTTATAACCTAATAGTATTATTTCTTATGAACAAATAATCTTGTAATCTGTTTGGTTATTTACTCGGGTATAAATACCAACCTATCTCATCTTAGGGATAAATGTTTTTTTTTCAAAACTACAAAAATGTTTAAAATGCAAACATTACAGAAAAATAAATAAAATTTTTCTAAAATTAAAAAAAGCATATTTTTGCCAAAATAAAGAGACTACTAGGTGTGCTAAACAGCTGTGCTTCAAGACAAAGCAATTCAATTTATTTACACCGAACCCAAATGAACAGTCAGGTGTTTTACCATCAAACCTTTGCAAGCTTTTGTTCATTACTGTAAATTCAGAAATTATTGCGTGCATTTATTATTGCGATTTTGTCTTTTGAGACTAAAATGCGATTTTAATTTTTGCGATATTGAGAAAAATTCTGTTAAATTCATATCAAAAATTTCAAAATGCGAGTTTACATTATTGCGATTATAACCCTGTCGCATTTTTCGCAATAATAAAAACATCGCAATAATTTCTGAATTTACAGTAGTTGGTAACTTAACGTTCACATCAATTTTACCTCAAGTACAGACCAATTTAATCAAAAGACACTCAAACCGAATGAACCTGTGTGTGTTTTACCAACAAAACTTTCGAGAGGCTTTGTTATTTTTACGTTCATATCAATTGTACCCCAAGTATAGACCAATTTAATCTACATACGTCCAAACCTAATGATCATTAATGTAAATTACCATAAAAATTTCGACAGGCGTTGTCTTCTTGAAGTAAACATCAGTATTCCCTCAAATACAGACCAATTAATTTGTATTACATCCGAATTTTGACCAATGACAAACTGAGATCAAACGAACCACACATTGAATAAAAAGAAATAATCAACAGGCCAAGAAAAGGATAAGTCGGGAAAGAATTGAGAAAACAAGTTAACAACCACAAAATGAGCGATCACATGAACACCAAAATGAACAAGAAAAGCTAAGTCGACAAATTACGACTGTTCTAGAATGTATACATCATCCGCCATATGAATTCACTCAGAGTCGAAATATCACAATCGGAGACAGGACAGTCGAAAAAGCCTGACATCTACACTGGCAAAAATGCCACACATTTGTACATGCGTGACACATGCGTTTCACATGTGTGTCACACGCATGTGAAAGAGACGTTTCATGCCACGCATGTGATACATGTGTGGAAAACACATGTGATACGCATGATACACACATGTGATCATGCGTTTCACATGTGAATAACATGCGTAAGGAAATACACCTGTGATACATGCGTGATTACTGCATTTAAAAGGCATGGTGCCTGTATTAAATATTTTTCAAAATGTCCTCCTATTTGTCCAATTACCATGATTGTTGACATGTATCTTAGTTCTCAAGTGAATTACATGCGTTTTGTAACACATGCGTTATACATGTGTTTTCTATATATATACACAGGCAAATTTTGTGCACGTAAATTTCTTGTGAGATTCACCTCAAACAAGCTTATACATGAAACTCATGTGCAATTAATGTGAATTGAGCTTTAACGTGAAATTCATGTTAAATGTTTCATGTGAAACTAACGTGAATCAAGCTTTCATGTTATTTTTTCTAAAATGAAATTAAGGTGAATTGAGCATCAATCACACAAATTCACAGTATTTGAGCATATTTTAGATAAGTTAATGCTAATCTAGTACACATTCTATTTTGATATATATAAATATTTTTCTTGGTCTTGACTATGTGTTCATACTTCCATTATATTTTACTTTCTTGATCATAAACAATACAAAAAATATTTATCTATCAACTCCCAACTCACAATATCTCCAATGCAAGAGATAGGATGCAATAAAGCAAAGAAGGCAAGCAAATATCCAGGTCACCTTAGTTCACTCCTAGAATTTTTTCGGTTATGGTCAAGTCTCAATACTTTTTTTTAAAAGTGATGTAAGGATTGGTGATTCATTTATAGAATATGTATGCACTGATGTGTATTTCATTTTTAATATGTTTGTACAAGTCATTTTGTGGTTATCAGTCATGAGACAATCCAATCACATTGTGGAAATTGTCTCACTTGCAAAAGATGCCAATTTTTCTTTTGAAAGTTTTTAGGGAAAAAAGTAGTTCACCCTGCCACATATTCATGTGCCTGTTTCAAGCCAGGAACCTTTTCAGTGGTTGTCTAAAGTCTCATCCTGATAAAAAAAAATATTTAAAGAATTTAGTGTTGATAGAAGCTCTTTGATTGGTATAGACTCTGGTTAATGAAGTAGATCATGACATATACCATATTGAAAGTCTTGCTGTTATTTACAACCATTTCCTTCTTATTTCATATATGTATTTCAGTTTTTTTTCATTTCAACACCAATCTTAATAAGGTTAAGGCAAAAAGAAAACAAATGTTGACAAACAACAGGCATATACCATTAGAAGATCTCAAAGTTTGGCTGCACAATAGACTAAAAATTCTTGTTATTTCAAATATTTATATAAAATTCAGTATAAACATGCATTTTCCATTTTTAGACTATAATTGTCATGTTGACACAATAATTTGAATTTGAATTGTATTATATTCTGAGAGTACTTGTGGTTGAAATAATATACACAATATTTAATTTCATGTGTTTTAGATTTCTTAAATACACCACTCCCATATAATGACTACATGTCTGTTAGTAATGTTTAAGAGTTCTCTCCTGCATGACATTGCTGGAATTGCTATTTGTACCCAAGGCTTCCTTCAAACATTTGCACTGATCCTTCTAAGATGTTGCTTGAATGATAAAATCCTGTAATACATTATCAGCCATCAGACTCTTGGAATACAGTTGCTGTAATAAAAAAAATAAACTGTAATCACAGAGATGTGTCTCGCTTTTTAGTAATTTCGATAATGCAAATGCTGAAATTAAAATAGCAACACTTTAACATGTAAGATTTGCAAATATTCAAAGTCAATGAACCATGACTAAAGGTACATGGCTAAACAATCTCCATGGAAATTAGATGTGCCAATGCTAATACAACGCATACCAAATACCATTGACTTATCATAAGTAGTTCCCTTTAAAAAACCTAAACACAAACTAATACATGTAAACTAAGAAAATTTTAAAGTCAATAAACGATAACTGAGGGGGGGGGGGCAAATAATCTCCATGGTAATGAGATGTGCCAATGCTAATACAACTGCATACCAAATATCATTGACTTACCACTAGTGGTTTCCCATAAGCCGACCTAATCACAAACTAATACATGAAAACTAAGCAAAAGTTTCAAAGTCAATAGACCATGACTGAGGGGGCAGGGCCAAATAATCTTCATGGAAATGAGATATACCAATGCTTATTCAACTGCATACCAATTATCATGAACTTACCACTAGTGGTTCCCCATAAACTGACCTAGTCACAAACTAATACATGAAAACTAAGCAAAAATTTAAAAGTCAATAGACCATGACTGAGAGGGTGGGGCCAAATAATCTCCATGGAAATGAGATATGCCAATGCTTATACAACTGCATACCAATCATAATTAACTTACCACTAGTGGTTCTCCATAAACTGACCTAATCACAAACTAATACATGAAGACTAAGCAAGAATTTCAAATTAAGTCAATAAACCATAACTGAGGGGGAGGGGCCACATAATCTCCATGGTAATGAGATGTGCCAATACTAATACAACTGCATACCAAATATCTTCGACTTACTACTTGTGGTTCACTATAAACTAGACCTAATCACAAACTAATACATTGTTGACGCCGCTGTCGTCACCAACGCCAGAAACAGCATACCTATGCCTCGCTTTTTGACTCCGTCAAGCAAGACAAAAACAGCATATATTTTTTTGTAAAACATACATCAAATATTGGCTTACCAATCAGGCAAAAAATGATAACATCAATTTAATCTCCAATGATTTACCAAACTTACATATATATATATATATATCGTGTGAACAACTGGAGTGGAATATAATAGTTGTTGTTTATCATATTTATTTTTCGTTTAATGTCTTTTACATAAATTGGAATTGTATTACATCTGTCATTTCAGGACCTTTTATAGCTTGCTAGATGCAGTATCAGTTTTGCTCATTGTTGGAAGCTGTTCATACAGTGATCTATAGTTGCTAACATTCAGTCATTTTGACTATGGTGGATAGTTGTCTCATTGGCAATAATACTACATATTCTCATTTTTATCAACATAAATTACCGTAATAATGAAAACTAACTATATTCATGCATGTGTACTACACATTACCTGTATACATAATATATACTAGAATACTCCCGGGACATCATGGTGTCGTGACTGAAGCAATGTACCTTAGCCTTATTTTTAGTCTGGATTTTAAGATTTTTCGTTTTGTCATCTAATAATGTCATGCTGGTCATTAGGTGCACAGTTTTCTCTGCTTTGAAAATCTTTCTTTTTGAACCCTTCGACCCAGAACTTGTTAATTATCTGTAGTAATAATCATGTGGAAAACAAATGGGCCTGGAATGGTGTAATTTTTAATCAACACCATTGTCCTATATATATAAGTTATAAATAAAGTTGAATTCTTTGAATCGTCATTTTTATGTCATGCCGGCTCACAAATTGGACCTTGTTATTTTAGTATTATAGATCTAGATTACTAAGTGCTTGTAGAAACACAATTCCTCATTTTTCAAGCCCCTTTCTTACATGTCTTAACCTCATTTAAATTACAATACCAACTAAAAGCTCCAAGGAGCCTGTGTCGCTCACCTGCTATTTTTTTATTTTACAATTGATGCATGAAATAATGCAACCGATATACTTTTGCTTTAGTTTCAAAGATATAAGTCAAAAGCTGCATTTTTCCCCCTATGTTCTATTTTTAAACTAGATACCCTAATGCTTATTATGGCCAAGTTTGGTTAAATTTGTCTCAGTTGTTTCAGGAAAAGACTTTTGTAAAAGATTACAAAAATTTACGAAAAAATTGTTAAATTTGACTTTAAAGTGCAATAACTCCTTATGGGGTCAATTGACCATTTTGATCCTGTTGACTTATTTGTCAATCTTATTTTGCAGAACATTATTGCTGTTTACAGTTTATCTCTATTATAATGTTCAAGATAATAACCAATAAATTGCTTTGCCGAGCGCAGCTGGATATGACCACAGAGGTCCAACCCTGAACAGTTGGGGCAAATATGGACACAATATTCGCGCTTGATACAGGTCTGAATTTGGATTGCAATTCAATATTTGACACATAATAGGTTTCTGACATAGAATAACTGTAGTCAAAGAACTTAGAATTGGTTATATGATTTGAATTTATATTCAAAATTTTGCTTTTGTGTAATACACTATGCTGTTGCGAATTGACCTCCACCCCCTTTTTTTCAAAAAAAAAAAATTTGAAGGATTTTCTTTTTGTTTTTGATTTCTGAAATCTTGAGGAGAAAAAATTGTCCCCCCCTCCCCCTTTTCCCAAAACAATTCTTTCCCTCAGTTATGGTCATAATTTCAATTCAAATTTCCAAGATGTATTTGAATTACCTCCCTTACACTGTAATTTGTACTTAAGTAATTGTCCATTAACCAGGACACCCTTGTTTTTCTCACTTTTTTGCCCCCAATTCCTAAATGGTTTGAGCAATAACCCCCCAAAGCCAATCCTAACCATCTCTTTGTGGTATGGAAACTTGTAGTATAATTTCAGAGAGATCCATACATTGTTCCACAAGTTATTGTTATGAAACTAGAAAAATGCTTATTTGGGCCCCTAATTCCTAAACTGTTGGGACCATAACCCCCAAAATCAATCCCAACCTTCCTTTTGTGGTTATAAACCTTATGTTTAAATTTCATAGATTTCTATTTACTAATACTAAAGTTATTTAATAAAGTTATTGTCCGGAAAGCAAGTGTCGACGACGACAAAGTGATACCAATATATAATTTTTTGTGGTAGTATAAAAATTGAAAAAAAAATTCTTAAAATTACCAATTCAGGGGTAGCAACCCAACAGCGGGTTGTCTGATGCGTCTGAAAATTCAACAGAGATAGATATTCACCTGATGAACATTTTTACCCCATGTCAAATTTGCTCTAAATGCTTTGGTTTCAAAGATAGAAGCCAAAAACTGCATTTTACCCCCATGTTCTATTTTTAGCAATATTGGTCATCTTGATTGATGGCCAGGGTCAACGGATACATTTTTTAAACTAGATACCCTATGGATGATTTAGGCCAAGTTTGGTTTTATTTGGCCCAATAGTTTCAGAGAAGATTTTTGTAAAAGTGAACGGACAACGACGGCACCAAGTGATGAGAAAATGATGCAATTAACAGCAAAAGTAGGCGAGACACTGGGTTCTGCGGAACCTTACGATTTTTTTGAAATTGCCTTGGAATTCAGTATTTTTGTTATACCATTTGGAAATTAAATACTGTAACAAATACATACCAGTTACATTTATATATACTGTAGCTATAGGATTTCCTCAATATCTAATCCTGTTGTTAATTTCATTTAAACATATAATGTATATAGCTTCCCTTCCACTTACATCTGAGGAGCTAATTCTGAAAATTAAAATTCGTGTGATTATCATATAAAATCTGAACCTGATGCAGTCTGCTTTCCAATAAGAATAAATTAGGAATACAGTTATCCCTTGGTGAAGAGAGAGAAAACAAGTGATATTTTTATATTATAACCAATACTGCACATGGTAATTGGAACATCACTAGTTTTCTGGATTGGATTGTTGCTCACTTTGTCAGGATCTTTTACAGCTGACTATATAGTATGGTTTTGTTCATTGTTGAAGGTCATACAGTCACCTAAATTTTTTTACATCCTCTTTGACTAATGGAATGTTTTCTCATTGACAATCCTACCATACATTGTAAGACCTTATTTATAAAATACTAAAAATTTCAATCTGTGACAATAACATTTTATTAATTAAATAAGGTAATCTGATCAACATTATGAAGCAATTTTCAAAACACTCCGTCATTGTCTGACAGCGATCAAAGTAATTTTAACTTCTATGACAATGTACAATGATGTATATATGTGCAAGACTCAAAACTAAGTATTTCAACTAAATTCATACATATATCCATATACATTTACAAGGTACTTAAAAAATCAGCGAGACTGACGCATAAAATGTAGGTAAAAAAAATATACTTTTGTTGGATCCTGCATCATAATTATTACAAGTTAATGAAGGCAAGTCATAATCATTGAGTACATGTACATTATATTTGAAAAATTAAAGGATAATCTGATTAGCCTCTAATCATTAATGAAGCCACACAACACTCTGTGACAACAGTGACATATAAGTCTCCCATAGATGCACATACTATTATTTTAGGTCTTTTGTATATATATGTTTAAGGTTACTTAGAATTGGCTGTTGACATACATGTACACATGGACTGTCAGGCATGGAGTCATTGGACCCTAGGTTACTCCAGTCCATTATCAGTCACTATCAATAGTCAACTCCTCTGTCCATTTGTTGTAATACAATGTACAGCTGAAAGGGAGAAAACAGTATTTTGCAAACAATTAGCTTATACATTTAGGAGAATTCTGTATTTACCTAGTGATGTGACAGTAAACAGTCATGCTTCAGTGATTCCCTATATAATCAACCAAATTTTTACCACAAAAGGGGGGTGCCCCCCCCCCCCCCCCCCCCCCTGGATCCGCCTACGGTAAAATCAAGTTTAACGAAGGCCAAGCTTAAAATACAATACAGTTATCTACTTTCTAATGCAGCATATTAAAATAAATACCATTTAACAAATATTTTGGCGTAAAATGAAATAAATGAAAAAGTCTGTGAAACTGTTGCATTGTCTTTAGCAACTAAACAATGTGACGTCCTATGCGTACTCATGATGTCAAACATAAAATTCTAGAAGTACATTTTATTTATACCTTTCGTACGCTTCAGAATGGTTTCAATGTTGACAAAAAGAACGGAGGACCTTTCACTGGACTGAAAATTTCAAATAGTCCAAGACCTTTCATTTCTTAATGCAAATTTTAACCCCTGCATGTAGACCAATTTGAAAACCTGGCCCAAAATAAATAGACAGCTGCACCATGAGCACATGATACACCAATCGCTTATTCAAAGAATAAAGTTCAATAACTTTTCAATGTCATAATCAGACATTCATGAAAAACTAAAGGGAGGTTATCTTAATAGATATAAACCAGTCACCAAAGTTTCATGATAACTGCTCAAAGCATTGTCTGAAATATGAAAATCCCCCTTTTTTATGAATAAAATCACATAACTCTGAAACCTAAAATCTAAAATTAATAAAAACCAAAAGGGAGCTTACAACAATAAACATAAACAATTCACCAAAGTTTTATGAAAACTGCTGTAACCCGTATGAAATTATAAGGCGTATTACGCCTGGAAATAAGGCGTAAACCAGGCGTAAGAAGTAGTTACGTGTCTAGATCCAGGCGTAAGGGAGCAGGATACGTAAATTTGTAGTCCTTACGGGCGTAGAAAAAAGTGGTAAACCTGGCGTAAATTGAAATAAGCAAGGCGTAAATTTTCTTACGGGCGTAAAACTGTTGGTATGGCGTAAACTTTAATACCCATAATGCTTTGTTTAAAGGATCATGGGAAATTTTTTTCAAAATTTGGCTCTTTGGTTTTAGTTTGCAAGAGTTGGACTTATTCATGCAGCTTCATACATTCAGGGATAATTAGCTTGTTTTGTGCTTTTTGGAAGAATTTGGAAATATGGAATCAAATTGATTAATAAAAATTGTGAAAAAAATGGAAAATAATACATGGTAAATAATAATTATGTGAGTATATTACCTAAGTTATTAAGTTTTAAGTTCTAACAGTAATTTTGAAATCCAAAAACCTTTATCCTTGGATAATAACATTAAAATCTTTTACATGAAGTTAAATTGCAGTATTATCATTTATATTTTAAAGGACATTAATTTATAAAATCTTAGTTAATAAAAATGCAGAAGTTTTATTTCAAGAAAAATTAATTGTCATAATTCTTATTTAAACTTAAACTTATTTGAGCCAGTGTCTGTCTAAAATGTATTTATTTATATATTAAGCTTCTTCAATGGTTAATATTTCCAGTTTTATGTCAAATAATGAGAAATTAAAGCAACAGTACAGAAGTTTGCATTAAATACACAAAAGTACACAGTTAAGGTAATACACTGATTTGAAATAAGTGTAGTATTATATAAGGATATTACGCCTGGTTTATTTATTGACCAGGCGTACTCATTTGCATATTACGCCTGGTTTTTTCCTGGACCAGGCGTACTCATTTAAATATTACGCCTAATTTTACGCCTGGTTTCCGCCTCAGTTACGCTTGGTTTCCGCCTGGTTTACGCCTGGTTGACGCCTGGACATGCATTCCTTAAACACTGCAATGACGCCCGGTTAAAGTATGATTTTTACGCCTGGTTTCCGTGTCATATACGGGCGTCACAGTTCGTACAGGAAGCATTTTTGAGTTATTGTCTGAAAACTGGAAAATTTCCCTTTTTTAAATGAATATAACCCCACAACTTGGAAACATAAAATCGTAAATTTATAAAAATTGAAAGGGAGCTCATGTGAATAGATACAAACAATTGTCCCAAAACTGGAAAATCCCCCTTTAAAGTTTTTTAATGTTTTTTGGATATCAACAACTTTGTCAAACACATGGAATTTTGACATGGAATTAGTTATATCTGCACACAAGAACACACATTTGTATGTGTTTTTTCTGCATAAACATGTAATTCATAATTTATTAAAACTTCCGACATAGTCCCATTGTGCATCTGTTTTTTATGCCCTTGTCGTAATAGAGGGGGCATTAAGTTTTACACTTGTCTGTCTGTACATCCTTGCATACTTGCATTGAGAAATAGGTTTTATACCCTTTTGATATATTGAATATTTTGACATTACACAGTCATACTCTTCTTAAGACTGCATGAAATGACAAGCTGTGAAACATTGTTACACTTAATCTGTTGAATGTAAACTGATAGATATTTTAGTTTGGGAAAACATGTTTTTTGCACCTTTTTTATTATAAGACCTATTGATGAATCCAGTCCTTTTTGGCTAATTTTGAAAGTTGGTTCTTATGTTGTTTGCTGTCTGCCATTACTGTAATGTATCTAGTTTATATTTTTCATCCTTGTAGGTTACTTTATGGTATCGATTTTGTTCATTGTTTAAGGCTGTACATTGACCAGTAAATGTTTACATCTTTGTCCTTTGGTCTATTAATTGATAGTTGTCACATTGAGGATCATACCTCATCTTTTTATATTCATATGCTAGGTCATTGAAAAAGCTCCAAGGATACAACATAATTTAATTGTTATATATTTGCAAATTCATTCTGATAATGCAAAAACATAAATTGATTGACTTTTTTTCTTATTTTAATGTCCAGAGGCAAATATTTTATGTATTCTAAACGAGAACAACTTATCATGATCAATTCATAATATAGGCCAGTCTGACAATGCTTGTTTTAGACCCTTTTTGGTCTCTAATTCCTGAATGGTTTGGGCAAATACCCCCAAAATGAAACTTAACCTTCTACTTGTGGTACAAATTCATAGCAATTAAAATACTTATAAACAAGTTATTGTCCTGAATTTAGAAAAATGCTTGATTTGGGCCTTTTTTGGCCCCTAATTCCTACACTGGTTGAACCATGACGCCAAAAATAATCCCAACCTTCCTTTTGTGGTATTGAACCTTTAAATCTAATTTCATAGACATTCATACACTTAAACTGAAGTTATTGTCCGGAAACCAAATGTCTTCGAATGAGTTGATAGCAATATACGACCTCAAAACTTTTTTGCTGTAGTATACAATATGGTTTGGATTGCTTGCAATGCAATTTTCATTACATTAAACAATGTATATTTCCAAGGAATAACTTCTGTAAACCTAAATTTTAATAGCACTTACTTTCTAACTCATACATTTCAAAGTGACATTATTCCTGTATAAATTGCCAAATAAACGGATCACGGATGTAATAATAAATCTTAATTATAAATTTAATACTAAACAGAAAACAATGAACTTACGGAAAAGATGGTATACCGCCAACAAAAGGTGCAAAGGTTTTATTTCTTGGTTTCCTTAAACTGACCTCATCATGAATATCAACAATTTTTTTAGGACTATGCCTCTATTGAAAACAGCATGCCTAAGTCACAGCTTCATAACTGTTGTGGCTAGACAAAACAGAACAAGCGATTAAGAGAGCTTTGAATGCAATTTTCTATAAAAATGACCTGTAAAAAAAATAAATTTGTCACTTCTAACATGGATAATTTTCGAACTTGCCCACAACATTACAAGAATCAAACTTTAAACTCTTTGACCTCAAACTTTAAAAAAAATCTTCGAAACTGCATGTACAGAGTCTGACAAGAAAAAATTATTCAAACATAGTTATCATTTTCATTACATACCTCTCATCACAAAATTATTCATTGACTACTGCTCCTCATATGCACATAAATCAATAGGACAATCTATGACTCCACTATATAATCTAGAAAGCAATGCCTCAAATGAATTCTGTCCTGTTGCTTAGCTTCTCCTACTTCTCAAAGTAATTGTACTGTCGTTGAAAAAGCTAAAATAAATAAAGTTTAATAAAATGAAGTTATAATACAATGTATCTGCCAAAATTGCCTTTAATATTTTGATCTGGCAAAATTGGCTTGCTTTGATCTTTTAAAACTAGACCAACAAACTTTCCCTGAAAAAAAAAATGACTACAAAAAAGTATTTAATCATTTTATTAATGTTCCAATCCATCATATAAATTCCATATGACCCTTGAATGAAGGGATGAACAAAAGTGATTACATGTATATATTACAGGATCTCTGAATCTGTCATGATTTATAATGCCAATCTTTGGGGATTAAGTTATTAATTTTATATAAGGTAGTATCTGAGAAATGGACTAAACCAGGCAAGGTTTGGTGGTAAATACATTGTACATGTACAATGTACTTTGTTTTTGGCTTTGAACTAGGTGTTAGTAACTGGGAGTACTCTCAGATCTGAACTTGGTCTTTTTTGTTGTGGGGATGTATAAGTACCCACCACGTCTTGTGTGTGGTTTTGTTAGATGTCTTTCTACTTTGTATAGATCTGACGAGTTAAGCCCTTTTCACATCAATATACCAGGTTAGGAGGTGAGTTCGGCACCACAAACTACAAGTCTAGCCCCACCCCATCCTGTACATATTTGTATGTATGTGCCTGTCCCATGTCAGGAGCCTGTAATTCAGCTAGCTAGTGGTTCAGTTTGTCGTTTGTTGCTGTGTATCATATTTTGTTTTTTTTGTTCTTTGTTTTGTATATAAATTAGTCTGTTAGTTTTCTTGTTTGAATTATTTTACAAATTTGTCATTTTCATTTGGGGTCTTTTATAGCTGACTATATGGTATGGGGTTTGCTCATTGTTGAAGGATGTACAGTGACCTATAGTTGTTAACTTTGATGTCATTTGATCTCTGATGGAGAGTTGTCTTTTCTCATTAGTGTAAACAAGATTTTATTTTGAAAATAATTAGGTTATTTAAACATTACAATATGACAGTTTTATTAGGATTGGAAAACAAGTGAATTTTCACTGACTTTTACCAATTCCTCTCTTTTCTCATTGACAATCATACCACATTTTCTTATTTTTATATTTACATTACGTACATGTAAAGTAGATCTTTCATCTTCTGGAGGTGTCCGATTCCTAAGTACATGTACAAAGGGGGCCCTAATTAACAGCATGATTTTGAGTCGGCTAAAAAACAATCAGATAGATTATGATACAATTAACAGGTTTCCTTGCAATTATTTTGCAAATAACTAAGCTAATGCAAGAATAAAGTTATTTTCCAATAAATACATAAATTAAATAATAGTAAATAATGAATCTACAATTATATTTTAAGAAGTGAAACATCATTTAAATTCAATAAATATCATATATTAAATTTCAATTTTTTTTTTTAATTCTGGGTAGATAAGTTTTCATTTTTGTCGAGCCTGCGACTTTTGTCGCAGAAAGCTCGACATAGGGATGGTGATCTGGCGGAGGCGGCGGCGGCGGCATTAGCTAACTTCTTAAAAGCTTTATATTTTAGAAGGTGGAAGACCTGGATGCTTCATACTTTGTAAATGGATGCCTCATGTTACGAAGTTTCCGTCAGTCACATGTCCAATGTCCTTGACCTCATTTTCATGGTTCAGTGACTACTTGAAAAAAAAGTTAACATTTTTTGTAATGTTAAATTCTCTCTTATTATAAGTAGTAGGATAACTATATTTGGTATGTGCTTACCTTGCAAGGTCCTCATGCCCGTCAGACAGTTTTCACTTGACCTCGACCTCATTTCATGGATCAGTGAACAAGGTTAAGTTTTGGTGGTCAAGTCCATATCTCAGATACTATAAGCAATAGGTCTAGTATATTCGGTGTATGGAAGGACTGTAAGGTGTACATGTCCAACTGGCAGGTGTCATCTGACCTTGACCTCATTTTCATGGTTCAGTGGTTATAGTTAAGTTTTTGTGTTTTGGTCTGTTTTTCTTATTCTGTATGCAATAGGTCTACTATATTTGGTGTATGGAATGATTGTAAGGTGTACATGTCTAGCTGGCAGGTGTCATCTGACCTTCACCTCATTTTCATGGTTCAGTGGTCAAAGTTAAGTTTTTGAGTTTTGGTCTTTTTTACTAATACTGCATGCAATAGGTCAGCTATATTTGGTGTATGGAATGATTGTAAGGTGTACATGTCTAGCTGGCAGGTGTCATCTTACCTTGACCTCATTTTCATGGTTCAGTGGTCAAAGTTAAGTTTTTGAGTTTTGGTCTTTTTTTCTAATACTATATGCAATAGTTCAACTATTTTTGGTCTATGGAAATATTTTATGATCTATATATGTCAGTCACGCAGGTTTTATTTGACCTTGACCTCATTTTCAAGGTTCATTGCTCAGTGTTAAGTTTTTGTGTTTTCGTCTGTTTTTCTTAAACTATAAGCAATAGGTCAACTATTTGTTGTATGGAAGAATTGTTAGCTGTACATGCCTGCCTAGCATGGTTCATCTGACCTTGACCTCATTTTCATGGTTCATTGGTCAATGTTTAGTTTACTTGGTTAATGTTAAGTTTATGTGACAGTTGTAATAAAGCTTTATATTTAGGACTATCAACATAATATCAATGATTAGTAAAGAAGGCGAGACATTTCAGCGTGTGCACTCTTGTTTTAAAGTACATGTAGGGCGAGTTGGTAGACCTTTATCTGTTTATAATATATTTATTATATATTATCATGATTATATTCATTTGGATTTTACCCAAGTTAGGCAAGTTGCCACTGTTGGCAGGAGTACATTGTATATTTAACAGGATTTAATCCTATTCACAAGTGGGGCGATTTTTTTTAATGTGGGGCAAGCAAGTTGGTATGAAGGGAGCTACCACTTGATTTGGGGGGGGGGGGGGGGGCTAGGATGAAAATGTTATCTTTTCGGTCCTGGGTTTTTTTTTTTTACTCAAAACTCCTGTCCCGCATTTTTTCAAATTCCGTCAAAGCCCCCTCTCCCATAAAAATCAAATGGTAGCTCCCTAAACAAGAGTGGAGCAATTTTAAAATAATGGGGCGTTTTGCCAATAGACTATCTTCATATTACCGACTTTTGACTCCGGATTATATAATTTGTTACCTTGGACATCATGGTACTCGGTCAAGTAAGAGCAACCAAAATAAGTAAAATCAAACATATAATCGGTGTAATTTGAGGGGAAAGTTTACTGTTTTCCAATGATTCTGTAGTGAAAAAAAATATTAACCAGGTAATTTTCCCCAAAAATTGTACCGATTGAAGGCTTGGTTTTACTTCTTTAGCTTGCTCTTACCTGACTTGGTACCATGATGTCCAAGGTTACCAGTCGACAAATTATATTATCCAGGGTCAAAAGTCGGTGTTATGAAAATAGTCTATTGCAATGGGGCGAGTTGACTTGCTTCCGTTTTTGCCAATCTTTGACTGATTTTCGGGTTTACATCATACATGCATGACATGGATAAAGTCAAATGGTTTTTAGTGAAAAGTATAGCACTAGCATCTTCCTAAAAATGCGCATGATTATATTTACATTTCATTCCGCTTTCCAAGTACAATAAGTTGGTACGTAATCCATCAAAACGAAACACTTTCGTTGCGTTGACTTTCTAATGTATTGCTTCGTTCCCCGGATTCAGTTAATCGACAATGTAAGTTACTAACCCATTTCAATATATCTGTTTATAATAACTTTTTGATCCATCAGTTTGAAAAATCAAAGGTCTTTGAATCAACTATCTGACTATCTTTGTCCATTCTTTTTAAACAGTAAAACATGAATTCAGCAGCAGACGAGCGTCCATGGATTTTGCGTCATAGTATAAAAACGGCAACGGTGAAAAGATTTCCTTGTTTCCGTATTCGACGTGCCAAGCTTTCGTACATTTACGTATATATATGAGAGTTAGTCTGGAATCAAGAATGGGGATTTAAATAAGGACACAAAAAAAATATATAGATAGTTGAAAAGCAAAAATATAGAAAGAAGGATCATAGAGAATAATTGAGTATACTTAATTATGAAGAATCATGCAGACATTATTCTCAGAGCATATACATGTCTCTGGAAGAATTGAGAATAAAGAAAAACTAAATAAAGAATATTCAATCATTTATATATTATTTATAACTCATTCACATTTTGTTCCATTCAGAATTAAATAACTCTGCTGAGGGGGGCATGGGAAGTTTGGAAAATTGACAAACGATAATTACTCTAATCAGAGGAGAATTAAATGTTAGACAGTTAGAGTGTAATAAATAAAATATAAACATATATTTTTCAAAATGATGTCACAGAAAACACAGATTTTTTTTTATTACTAATAAGATTCTGCAATTTGAGTATCTATGTCCAACAGATGTCAGTGAATTAGAAATTTTACTAATCTGATAGACGTTTAGTTAAGAATCTGTGACAAGTTCTTTTGTAATATTATTAGGAAATTACCTACCGCCTCCTTGATTTAAAATTGCATACTCTTCAAGATTAAGGTAGCCTACACAAATAACAGCCAGTTTTGGACTTGATCTTTTTGTCCAAGGTTAAACAATATATTTTGTTTTATAATTTTCAACTCATGAACTATGCAAATATTTTTAACACTATCTCCTCATGATATTCGACGAAAAGCTCACCAGATCTTATCTTCACATGTTTGCCAATATGGCGAATCAAATCAAAGTATTACTTACTTAATTTGGCAATTACATGTATACTCAACCCTAGGTTGCCACATGTTGAGCAGAAAGTTCCTAACTTTATCATTCACAATACTTGAGTTCACCCATGTATTTTGGAGGTTCGTGTTGCACATAAAGGCGGATTTAGAGCACCCTGCCCCCTCCCCTTTTTGTGGGAAAAATTTGATCTATTATATCGGGAATCACTGATGCATGACTAGGGAGGCCCCCTCTTTAGCAGTCAGTGGGCCCCCTTATGAAAGTTTCTGGATCCGTCAATGGCACAATCTTTAGTTTTTGTGTAATGTTAAGCCCAACGGTTACTGGAAATTTCTGTCCAGTATTTCATACCAAAGTTGTTTGGGTATCACAGTTTTAAAATGTTACCACCGTTGATCCAATAAACAAATCCTTGGTTGATCGATTCTTAAACAACTTCTTTCCAGTAGTACCCTCACAATGGTATTAATGACATTAATGCCTCCAACCTGGGACTATTATGGAGACTATTATACAATAGTCCCAGCTCCAACTTGAACACTGATCATTGATATGTATGTTCCCCTTATAAATAGAATAGAGAAATTGAGGACATTTGTTCCACATTTTATGAACTTTGAAAAAACACAAGCACATGTAACTTTTGACACCACCTGCGGGCAAGTGCCTGCAGGACACTGATGTGGTGGCACGTGGGTGGTGGTAAGTCAGTGGCGGATCCAGAACTTTTCATATGGGGGGGGGCCCGCTGACTGACCTAAGGGGGGCGCCCGCTCCAGTCATGCTTCAGTGATTCCCTATATAATCAACCAAATTTTTCCCACGAAAGGGGGCCCCCCCTGGATCCGCCTATGTAAGTTTATAACCGCCGTTACAGTAAACCCCTCTCAACCCACCAAATGCTTGCTTGAAACACAAGTAAAATATAAGCAGGTAATTATGTCCTTTGCTTTTATTCCACACCAAAGATGAAGAAATGTATGATAAAGTTATCAGTGGCGGATCCAGAGGGGGGCGTAGAGGGCGTACGCCCCCCCTTTGCCTGCACTTTTTTTTTTTGTTTTTGTAAAATGATTAATAAGACTAGACTTCGCGAACTTTGCCATTTCCAGTGTATTTAATTTTTATGCGACAATTCTTTACTTATAAAGATATTTTTCGCTCGTATTTACTGTAATATATTATTGATTATGTCAAAGTCATGTGATTCGCTACGGTGGAGTTGACCAGTACGTCGAAAAAAACGTCACTCAGTCATTTTGAAATTCAAATTACAGTAACACATTGCTTAGGCTGAGGATGACAAGCATGACGCCTTCAAAGCGACAAAGTATCGAGCAAGAACGTATTGACTTCTATTTCATAATTCCACCCAACAGAAAGTAATACTCTATTACACTCTCATGAAAAAGAAATTTCCACAGCAATATTATTTACCTACGAAAACATGTTTAACCCCACACGTCCCAGCCCATTAATAATATTGCTGAATAGTGATCCCCAGTCAGTAAGCTCTAGATATAGATTTAAAGTCTAAGGTACGGACCATTTGATTTGAGGGGGCAGTCTGAGATATTTTAGAGACAAAATTCTGACCCTGATTTTTGCCTTAAACAAAAATACTGGCCGTATCTTGAATGAAAACAATAATCTTGTCCACTTTTTTGCAATTAGAAAAAAATATTTTCAACAAAATTATTTAGCATTAAATGAACATGATGAATAAAAAACGGGCGTAATTTATTTTTGGGGGGTTGCATGTGAATCCAATATCTGACCGGAATGTCTGTTTCGCCGAACTGATATACTGAATACTTTTTTCAAGGCCCGACTGCAACATGGCTGCTGGGTGTGGCCTATATGTCTCCATGTGTCGACCGTCATTCACAACTTCATTATCATTTCCGACTCATTCGTAGCCTTCGGTTGATTTAGAACCCCTCACTTCCCTTGTTGGTTAAAACATTTCAACCAAACATTTGGATAAAAAATTGCTTGTGTGTCTTTCTTCGTGTCGGTCGTATTGTAAATTTCATCGAATAGCCGTATATCTTGTTTACAACAAGAAATCTGTGAGGTTATGCTAACTAACCATACAACAAACGAGAATTTTTCATGTCCATTTTTTACTGACAAATACCACATCAAATATATTAATTAGTACATATCTTTGGATCCATTCAATCATTTTATAATAGACAATTAATGGAAAGAATACGGCACCAAAAATGTCCAACCCCTACACTTTAACTATAAAATGCATTTTACACTTATTTTATGTTTTTTAGCCAAAAAAAGGTCCGTATTCTTTCCATTAATTGTCTATTATAAAATGATTGAATGGATCCAAAGATATGTACTAATTAATATATTTGATGTGGTATTTGTCAGTAAAAAATGGACATGAAAAATTCTCGTTTGTTGTATGGTTAGTTAGCATAACCTCACAGATTTCTTGTTGTAAACAAGATATACGGCTATTCGATGAAATTTACAATACGACCGACACGAAGAAAGACACACAAGCAATTTTTTATCCAAATGTTTGGTTGAAATGTTTTAACCAACAAGGGAAGTGAGGGGTTCTAAATCAACCGAAGGCTACGAATGAGTCGGAAATGATAATGAAGTTGTGAATGACGGTCGACACATGGAGACATATAGGCCACACCCAGCAGGCATGTTGCAGTCGGGCCTTGAAAAAAGTATTCAGTATATCAGTTCGGCGAAACAGACATTCCGGTCAGATATGGGATTCACATGCAACCCCCCAAAAATAAATTACGCCCGTTTTTTATTCATCATGTTCATTTAATGCTAAATAATTTTGTTGAAAATATTTTTTTCTAATTGCAAAAAAGTGGACAAGATTATTGTTTTCATTCAAGATACGGCCAGTATTTTTGTTTAAGGCAAAAATCAGGGTCAGAATTTTGTCTCTAAAATATCTCAGACTGCCCCCTCAAATCAAATGGTCCGTACCTTAGACTTTAAATCTATATCTAGAGCTTACTGACTGGGGATCACTATTCAGCAATATTATTAATGGGCTGGGACGTGTGGGGTTAAACATGTTTTCGTAGGTAAATAATATTGCTGTGGAAATTTCTTTTTCATGAGAGTGTAATAGAGTATTACTTTCTGTTGGGTGGAATTATGAAATAGAAGTCAATACGTTCTTGCTCGATACTTTGTCGCTTTGAAGGCGTCATGCTTGTCATCCTCAGCCTAAGCAATGTGTTACTGTAATTTGAATTTCAAAATGACTGAGTGACGTTTTTTTCGACGTACTGGTCAACTCCACCGTAGCGAATCACATGACTTTGACATAATCAATAATATATTACAGTAAATACGAGCGAAAAATATCTTTATAAGTAAAGAATTGTCGCATAAAAATTAAATACACTGGAAATGGCAAAGTTCGCGAAGTCTAGTCTTATTAATCATTTTACAAAAAAAAAAAAAAAGTGCAGGCAAAGGAGGGGCGTACGCCCTCTACGCCCCCCTCTGGATCCGCCACTGCACCTGTGACACATGCGTTTTTAGGTACATGCGTGACACATGTGTGGCATTTTTGCCCTAGTACGTCAGTTAGTCTTGGTTCGATTGTATTTCTCAAGCAATCAAACTACATGTCCTGAATTATGATTATGTATAGCATGTCTCCATGTTTAGTGTTAGATACATGTAGGTATATTTTTTAAGTTTTTGCTTATGTTGATTTTAGTTCGTGTTGGTAAATGGTTTTCATACATAAGTTCATATATGTGCCGAATAGTCATGCTGTAGATTGAGAACTTATATAGATTGTTATTTGTCAATATTTGCTAGACATTAGGGTGTTCGGTTTCGGGTTGATCAATTTCTATGACTTCACCTAGATAACTTATTTTATGTGCGTGTTTTAGCTGAACCAAAGCATTCCAACTTTCTTCACAAGCGATCCGGTATGTTGGGCGTTTTCTCCAAAGTGCTCAACACCATGGCATGGTTGAGGAACTGGACACTAGATTAACCTGAAATGTTTTGCTTCATTCATCATCGTTTAGATAAGTGGCTGATAAATTATATGAAAATATTGTGACAGTGCATCTTGACCAATGCTCGTTTTCTTTGGCGATATCAAACAAGGTCACCAGACGCGTTTTGCATGTTAT